AGTCATTTCAAAAACCCTTTGATTTTATTCATTTTCTCTACGACAGATCTGCTAAAACCCACTTGTCCCTCAAGGATGCAGTTCAGCTGTTTCCTTCTCCAGGAAGCTCTCCCAGACTCCCCCACACTGGGTCAGGCACCCCTCTGGGCTCCCACATCCCAGCCTTGACCAATCCTGGGTATCACTGGTGACAGATCTCTCTCCCCCACTGGACCGTAAGCTTTGCAAGGGCTGGGCCCAGGGCTGTTTTGCTCACCCTTTCATGTCATCCCTAGGCTCACCTCTGCCTGGGAACTTCCTCCACTCCTCTTTTGACCGCTCCTCCAGGAAGCCCTTCCTGAGCCCTAGGCTGGGTCAGACACACCCTCAAGGATCCCAAAGCTCCCTGGGCTTCCTTTAACACAACACTGTGTATTCTGGGTTAAATTTTTCTTTTTTTTTTTTGAGACAGAGTCTAGCTCTGTCACCCCAGGTAGAGTGCAGTGATGTCATTGTAGCTCACTGCAACCTCAAACTCCTGGGCTCAAGCGATCCTCCTGCCTCAGCCTTCTGAGTAGCTGGGACTACAGGCTACACACCGCCATGCCCAGCTCATTTTTCTATTTTTAGTTTTGCTCAGGCTGGTCTCAAACTCCTGAGCTCAAGCGATCCTCCCGCCTCGGCCTCCCAGAGTGCTAGGATTACAGGTGTGAACCACCGCGCCTGGCCTGGGTTGAATTTTTTTTTAAATTTGGATTGAGAGTCTCCCTTGTTTCTCAGATAGTTACAGAACTACGGTTCAACTACCTTGTGTGCCTTCCCAGCCAGAAGGCGGGCGTCCCTGCTTTGTTTTTTCACTTGAGCAGTTGGTAATGAAAGTGGGATATAAGATTACTTTATTCCTGCATCTTATCAACTGCTTCTTCCTCGCATTTGCCCTTTTCCTTTCGTACCTGGCGAGATTTGGCTTTCGCTTCAAGAATCTCTTTTGGTCTTTGTCTGGTTCAAGCCTAGTGATAACCACCTTGCTAGGGTGACTGCCCACAGGGACAGTGATGCTATTAGATTTTTCCTGCTGCACCCGTTCCAGGTAGATGACATCTTACTTCCTGTAAACCTGGACTACTGTGCCAATTTGCTGAGCTTTACTGCAGCTCCACACAAGCTGAACTTCAGCATCCTTCCGGATGGGCATGGACTGAACGCCGCACTGCTGTCTCAGCTCTTTGGGAAGAGAGGAAGACATAATCCTCCTGCGAATGTGGGAAGGTGCACTGAAATGCCTTGGGATTGAACTTCATTTTTTTTTTTTTTTTTTTTGAGACAGGGTCTCATTCTGTTGCTCAGGCTAGAGTGCCGTGGCGTCAGCCTAGCTCACAGCAACCTCAAACTCCTGGGCTC